GTGGCCAAAGGGCAGGACCCGGCCCTTGGCCTTGGGGAACCTCAGCCCCTTGGAATCAGCCCATGGATCCAGCCTGGCCAGGGCCCTCTGCAGAGCCCTCCTGCCTTCCAGCACATCAGCACTCCCCCAGCTTGGTGGCACCTGGAATGTGCTGGTGGTTCCCTCCATCCCCTCCTCCAGGTCATCCATAAAGACATGGAACAGGACTGGGCCCAGCACTGATCCCTGGGGACACCACCGGTGACCTCCCTCAATTCCTTCCATTCCCAGCGCTCCAAAGGGGTGAAAGGACACCCAAAAGGACACCCAAAGCAGGATGCTGGATGTCCACCAGGACCTCAACCTCTCCCCCAGGCACCGGCAAAATGTCCCAAACTCACCTCTTTTCCCGGCGATCCCGACGCTCCCGCGGGCCCAGGGATTCCATTCCGGCCTCTCCTCCCGCGTTCCCCCTGGAAAACAAAATCCTTGGAGAGGAGAACACGTTGATGGGAAAGGTCCTGCTTTCCCTCATCTGGATAAAAGGCAGGAGTTGGTGCTCTGGGCGTTCCCCAAGGAGGAGGAAGAGCCTCAAGGAGAGGAAATTCCAGCCACGCCAGGACCTTCGGCTGAGGAATGCTGATGCCCCCCATCCCTAAAAAGAGACTTATCCATTGATCCCTCTGTTCCTGAGGGTGCCTGATCCCAACACCGCGGTGCTCAACACCCCTGTTCTTCCCAGTCACCTCCTCGAAGATCCAGAATTCTCCATGGACCTGGATCCAAGAGCTTTAAAGATCCTAAATTCTCCATGGATTTGGATCCAGGAGACACAAAGATCCTCAATTCTCCATGGATCTGGATCCAAGAGCCTCAAAGATCCACAATTCTCCATGGATCTGGATCCCAGAGTCTCAAAGATCCAGAATTTTCCATGGATCTGGATCCCAGAGCCTCAAAGATCCAGAATTCTCCATGGATCTGGATCCAGGAATATCGAAGATCCACAATTCTCCATGGATCTGGATCCAGTAGCCTCAAAGATCCTCAATTCTCCATGGACCTGGATCCAAGAGCCTCAAAGATCCACAATTCTCCATGGATCTGGATCCCAGAGTCTCAAAGATCCACAATTCTCCATGGACCTGGATCCAAGAGCCTCAAAGATCCACAATTCTCCATGGATCTGGATCCAAGAGTCTCAAAGATCCATAGTTCTCCATGGATTTGGATCCAAGAGCCTCAAAGATGCAGAATTCTCCATGGATCTGGATCCAAGAGTCTCAAAGATCCAGAATTCTCCATGGACCTGGATACAAGAGATTCTGATTAACAGAATTAAATTTCAAAGGTGAAAACCAAGGATTTGGTTGGAGCTCCACTGCTTTGGGGTTCTTTCATCTTGAGGGACGTCCCCCTGCCCCACATTTTGGGGCCTTTATTTTGTTCTTTATTTCCTTTCTTTGATCCCATCAATGCTGTTCCCTCTCCTTTTGCAAGGATTTGTTCCTGTTTTTCCTCACCCCGTGTGGAATCGGGATCTGGAGACCTGGATTCCCACCCTGAGGTGACAAACACAACCTGTGGTGTCCCCTCACCTTCTGTCCCGGCATCCCAGGCAGACCTGGAGCCCCTCTGTCCCCCTGGGATCCGGGAATTCCGGCGTTGCCGCGGATGCCCTGGATGCCCTGAGCTCCTGGAGGTCCCGGGGCTCCCGGCTCGCCCTGTGGAGCGAATCACAAGGAATTTTGGGGATTAGGTGGGATTTTAAGTGTCCCTCGAAAAGTCCAGGAGGAAGCCTGGGGTGTCTCCTTGAGTTCACACACCCCTTCCAGTCCTGGCCCGTAAGGGAGGACCCAAATCCTGCAGACCTTCAGGAGAATCCAAACCCTGCAAACCTTCAGAGGGGATTCCAAACCCTTCAACATCCCAAGGGATCACTGAAACTGAGCTGAGCCCCCAATTCCCTGGATATTTTTCCACAGCCCTATTTCACAGCCTGATCCAGCTGAAGTGAATCCAAACCCTGCAGACCTTCAGGAGAACCCAAACCCTGCAGACCTTCAGGAGAACCCAAACCCTGCAGACCTTCAGGAGAACCCAAACCCTGCAGACCTTCAGGAGAATCCAAACCCTGCAGACCTTCAGGGGAATCCAAACCCTGCAGACCTTCGGAGAGGAATCCAAGCCCTCCAGACCTGGAACATCCCAAGGAATCACTGAAACTGAGCTGAGCCCACAATTCCCTGGATATTTTTCCACAGCCCTATTTCACAGCCTGATCCAGCTGAAGTGAATCCAAGCCCTGCAGACCTTCAGGAGAATCCAAACCCTGCAGACCTTCAGGAGAATCCAAACCCTCCAGACCTTCAGGAGAATCCAAACCCTGCAGACCTTCGGAGAGGAATCCAAGCCCTCCAGACCTGGAACATCCCAAGGAATCACTGAAACCGAGCTGAGCCCACAATTCCCTGGATATTTTTTCCCAGCCTGATCCAGCTCACTGATGACCTCGAAATGTCCCTTCCAGCCCAAACCATTCTGTGATTCCATGATATTTATCCTCTGGACCTTAAGGTTTTGAAAAGGCCCTTTGGAGGACACAGGACATTCCCTCTGTCCCAATCCCATGGAATGGTGTTCCTGCCTTTCCTGCCTTCCCAGGCTTCCCTTCCTGCCTTTGGTGCTTTATCCCTGCAGCTGCAGCTCCAAAGCCTTTGTTTTCCAACACCCAGCGGTGGAAAACAAAGGCTAAAGAGAGACAAATCCCAAAAAAAACCTCCCCAAGTGAGATCCTACCTGGAAGAGAAGAATATCCCACCTTAAATCCAGGTGGCCCAGCCTGACCAACGGGACCTCTGAACCCAATTCCTGGTTCTCCCTGTGGATAGAAGGTGAGGAAAAAAACAGGATTAGTCCAGGATTAGTCCTGTGGGTCCATCACAACCAAATGGTGCTGCCTGGACAACCAGATCCTTCAGAGCTGATCCCAAGGGATCCCACAGCCAGATGGTGCTCCCGGGACACCCAGGACCTTCTGAGCTGATCCCAAGGGATCCCAGAGCCACATGGTGCTCCCTGGACAACCAGATCCTTCAGAGCTGATCCCAAGGGATCCCACAGCCAGATGGTGCTCCCGGGACACCCAGGACCTTCTGAGCTGATCCCAAGGGATCCCAGAGCCACATGGTGCTCCCTGGACAACCAGGTCCTTTGGAGCTGATCCCAAG